GACCTAGCCTAAATATATTTTAGAAGTAAAGTAAAACTTTATTTCACAAAAATATGACTTAGAGAGTTTACCCAAATATACCAACATTAACAATATGTCTTTTTAATTATTTCAGTTAGCTATACATTGTGGTATTTACATAAATGCATATATGAATTTTGATCAAATTCATCCCCTTTATACTCTTTCTCATCTTGAAAAGCTGTGACTTGATGGATGTTCCTATTAGCAGAAACAGAAACACAGATCATGAAAGATATCTATTGAGAGGATACTTCAAACTTAATATTTGGACCTAGCCTAAATATTATTTTTAAGAATAAAGTAAAACTTTATTTCACAAAAATATGACTTAAGAGAGTTTACCCAAATATACCAACATTAACATATGTCTTTTTAATTATTTCAGTTAGCTATAATTGTGGTATTTACATAAATGCATATATTGAATTTTGATCAAATTCATCCCTTTATTACTCTTTCTCATCTTTCTCACTGCTGTTAAAAGTTTTCTAGTGGGTTTTATTGTGCTATTTCCATAAGATGCATACACACACACATACACACACACACAGACATATATGTAAATGTTCTTTACTCATATTCACCCCATTAACCCTTTCCTGGTTCCCCAGTGGCACTCCCAAAAAGCATCCACCTTTTTTTCATCATGACCATTTTTTTTAGATGCAGATTGCACATAAAATTGATTACATGCTATATTGTTCTTTCCTAAAACCTGACTAGCTCAACGTGGTGATCTCCAGTTCATCCATTTTTTTTCTCCAAACATGAGTATTCCTTTTAGAATTACTGCTAGTATTTCCTCAACAACAATAACAACAAAGAACATAAATCATATATTCAACAATAATTGCACCTTTGAAAATGTATATCATCTTTTAACAGTTTAAGGGAAATATTAGGGAAAATGGTAAACAAAATATCAGATTCACATGTGGCATGATGCTAAATATGTAATTACAATGCCACAAAAACAGGATATAAAGATACCCATTTGGATATAAGTTATCTTTGGTAAATTTTAGAAGTTCCTGTTTTCAAATTGTGTTTAAAAGTTTGATCATATTTTTTCAAGGACCAGAAGACATATTCTCTTTCCACTTGGCTTACAGACTTAAAATTAATTATATCTGGAATTAGAAAGAAGAATTTTTCTCCAAATTTTTTCTTGTCTGTAGCTCATGGCAAACACAGTCAAGATTCTCTAGGGTTTGCATCCCAAGGTAATGCAATTACATGTAAGATACACAACACAATGCCTAATTTTGTCTCTGTTTCTGATTCCCCCATGAGAACTTACTATACCTCATGATTATCTTTTATAATTAGAAGAAAATAACTTTCTTGGCACCTTTAGTGGCCTATACTTGAATAAAACTCATATTATCTAATTACAAATGTGATGAGTTTGTATATAGTCTTATATTTTTAAGAAGTAGTTATAAAGATTTTACTAATGAATGCCTTCAATAAATAAATCTATATAGTGTGCTGGCTTCTAGTGAGTCTATTGATCTAAATATTTTTATTCTAATTCTGATGTGGGCAACTCTGAAATCAGGAACATAATGCTTTTTTTGTTGGAGAAAAACCTCTGTGAACCCAATGGCAGTGATATGGAATCATTCAACTGAGAAAAAGAAAAAACAAGGTATGGATCTCTCCTTCCTAGGTTATTACACACCTTAATACGATTGTATCTTTGGACCTCATTTGTAGAATTTAAGGATGTCTTCACCTTGGTGACTACAAAGATAACATTAATTGTTCACTCTTATTTTAAGTAAGAATGAAAAATACACAGCAATAATACTTTAATTCACAAGAACAATACTTTATAGTATAAAACTCTGTTTTGCATAATAACTTTTATTGAAAAGCCATGTAGGAGTAAGCAAATTGGAGAATCATAACCTGGATTAATCAAGGATTTATGGAAGAATGTACCTAAAATTTGAGATTACAAGGTGACAGTGCTTGCAATTTGAAGGGAAATACTTTGTTATTTTTGCAAGAGATACATTGATGAAACCAATAAGTGCTAAGAGAACATTTTGGGGACTTGAATTGAATGTGCTGCAGGAGGAAATTGCAGAATTAGCTGCACCGTGTGGATGGATGCGAACATTAGAATCTGAAGAAACTGAGACAAAAGTATTTAAATTCAGGTATTTTATTTTTAAAAAGTCACTTTGAAAATGTGTGAGAATTGGATTCCATACTGAAAAGTTTTTAAAGGAAGTTAATGAATCAGGGTTGAGTAGGTAAGTCAACTGGAGATCTATCATTATTTACCTAGAGTCTGAGGTTTGTGAGTAGGAAAAAAGACAGGGTCATTTAGAATTGTTCTTTAATTTTGTCCTCAATTGACTTCCTGACATCCTGAAACTGAAATGAATAGGCAGTTTGGAGCCAGAAAAGCAGATGGAAATATCAAAGAAAGGAAGAAAAAAAGTAAAGATAATATAGAAAAGGTTGAGATAGTGGAAGAAAATTGTATCTAAAACAGAAAGAAAAATTACAATAGAATCCTGAAATAAGGCTGTTTTTACTTTGACCCTGCCAAATTTTTTCACTTACTATTTCCTATAGGCAATACAATGAATTTCTAAACTTATAACTGTTAGTAGTTGTAGGATATTTTGTGTTCATATTTTTATACTCTAAATAAGTTAATTTAATATAATGTTAGAAATAGGAGAATTTTAAAAAAAACATGTTTTTGTGGGCATTCACCACAATGTAGAATATAGTCTTATATCCTTTAAGATTATTATCTGAGGCCCAAGCTCTGGTGGCTCATGCCTGTAATCCTAGCTCCTCAGGCAGCAGGATCACCATCCAATGCCAGCACCTGGCAAATAGTTCGAGACACCCTATCCTGAAAAAAATCCATCACAATAAAAGGGATGGTAGAGTGGTTCTAGCAGTAAGAGTGCCTGATTTAGAATACCACATATACATAATGATATTATCATAATAGTGGCATTTGAAGGAATGCTATTAATAATTAATGCTTGCAAAATTAGTATACTTCTATAGATAAGGGCATGAAATATAGCATTTCAACTCCTTGCCAAAGTCTCACTTGGCTGAGGCAGAATTTCAACTGAGGTTGATAGGATCCTATACATTGTCAGACATAATCTCAAAGAGATGCTACAAATGACCTATTAACAATATGTGGCTATTGACAAAATAATTATCAGTGTATGAAGCAAGGCTTGTCTGATTGTACTGTGTTGTGAACGAGCCAATTTAAGAATGTGTTCATGCAGAGAGAAAGGGAAGAGCTAAAATAAATGAAGATTCAAACAGTGCTTCAAATGCAATAGGAATAAATGTTAAAATGTTATCAAGGTAAGATTTTATTTTGTCACTAATGCAATTCATAGTAGTAAAGATGTAGTTTACCAGCAAAAGGGCTAAGGAATATCAGTCAACTAAACACAACTTAAATGTCATATTTGTTTGTATGAAGAAGAATATATTTAGATCTGTTATCACATTCTAGATCCAATAGTATAGGATATACAACAGATAATAAAAGTTTAGAGATAGCTGAAATATTTAGTAATTTATGTTTAGAGATTTGCATTGTGAGAAACTTCTAAGAAATATGGAGATATTTAGATTGATGAGAGCAATAAAATATATCCTTATTTTGAAATATTGGGTGGAATACATGTATAGTCATGGATCTTTTTCTACCCAAAGTGACTGAATTTAATCAGGACCAGATGGAACTCAGATTATGTGGGCTTTAATTTAAGAAACAAGAAGGGAGAATAATGCTGTTGATGACTCAATATGAAGCACAAAAACATAAGATTCAGCATGCATTTCACTTACTCTAGTAGAAAGAAACACCAATAACTTTAGTTGTGAAAAATAAAATACTGCTTATTTCAGGTGATGCTACAAATTGTAGCATTTTTCAATGTGTAAATATGACGGGATCATATGTGCTTGTGCCAGTCCAAACTCATTTTGAAAGTTCACCGTTTCTCATGCTGTGCCTGTGTTTTTTATTTTATATTGCACCTCGTGGACTATTATTCTAACATAAGGAAAAGTTTCTTTTAGTTATGTAAGTTATTCTTAAAGTGCTTATATTGTATATACATTATCATAATTTTAAATAAATATAATATTTTACATATTAAAACACACACATCCCCAAACTGATATTAGCTTCAGATTTTAAGACAGTCCAGATGTATTTCCTGAAGAAGAAATGAAATGACATTTTGTAGACTTTGCAGATGGTCACATGATAAGAGCATCATCCAGTACTATCAATAGTATTTGACTGGATACTTCGATATTTGAGCTGCTTAAACAGAATATTGCATGCAGCATTGTCTCTAGGATACTCCTTGACATTCCAACACTAAGAGGCTCATACAGAATTGGGATGACTATTCAGTGTCACTTTAATGTAAGAAATGTAGTACTGCCACTTTCTCCTAACTGAAATAATCAAGTGGAAACATACTATTAATATGTCTACTGTCAGACTCTGTTAACCATCTCTGCTATCATACGCTCTATTTCCTTAAGTAACAGGTGTTCCCTGTTTTCCTTTTAGTTCTTATATTTCCTTTAAAAATTTGATTTTAAGGTGACTCTAGGTAATAATTAATATTTTCTTAACTTTTAAAGTTCAGGTTATAAAATCTGTTCAATTATAGCTTCCTGTATGCATATATATGTATATAATTTATAAAAGAATTCTATGAGGTAACCTCTTCATTTTTTTTTTTAATAGATGAGGAGAGTGAGTCACTGATGGGTCAAAGAATACTCCACATTCAAATAGTTAGAAAGTGGGCCATGACTGAGTTGAGGAGCAAATGTGTCAAACAAGGAAGCATTAATAAATATATGAAACTTGACACCTGCTTTCTTCATCATTGAGAAGTTGCTTCATACCCACTCCCTCTCTACTGTACTCAATTTTTGCTCAAGTGAACTCTCTGATTTCCTCCAACTGGAGCCAAATGCAGAATGAGAGAAATCAGAATACTGGAGTCACTTTCACACTTTTAGGCTTCTCAGAATATCCAGACATCCAACTGCTGCTTTTTCTGGTGTTCTTGACCATCTATATAGTTTCTGTGTTGGAAAACCTAGATATGATTTTGATCATCAGGATTAATTGCAAACTGCACACTCCTATGTACTTTTTCCTCAGCCACTTATCCTTTGTTGATTTTTGTTACACTTCTGTAATTGCACCAAATCTATTAAACCTTTTGCTTGTGGAAGACAAAACTATCTCCTTCAAAGGTTGCATGCCACAATATTTCTTTGGATGCACATCTGTGATTACAGAGATGTTTATGTTAGCAGTGATGGCCTATGACTGCTTTGTGGCTGTGTGTAACCCCTTGCTCTATACAACTGCTGTGTCTCATAAGCTGTGTGCTTTTCTGGTGGCCTTAACTTACATATGGGCTGGAATCTTTTCCTCAACACTCACATATATTCTTTGGCAACTGTCCTACTGTGGCTCTAACATTACAAACCACTTCTGCTGTGAGTACTCTGCCCTGCTCTCTGTATCCTACTCTGATACTTCCTTCAGCCAGATGGCATGTTTAGTCATTTCTATGTTTAATGAAGCTTGCTGCCTCCTGATCATTATGACTTCCTATGTCTTCATAGTTGTCACTGTCATCAAGATTCCTTCTAAGGGTGGACTCCAAAAAGCCTTTTCTACCTGTGCCTCTCACCTGACTGCCATCTGCATCTGCCATGGGATAGTCCTTGTCCTCTACTGTGTGCTTAAATCTAAAAGCTCATTGTTCCTGGTCAAAGTAGCTACTGTGTTTCACAGCATGGTGATTCCTATGTTAAATCCCCTTATTTATAGTCTCAGAAATAAAGATGTGAAAGAGACCATCAGGAAGTTAATCTACATAAAACTTATTTATATTTTCACTCAACATAGTTAAGCACAATCCAGAAGACACACTCTTTCTTAGTTAGCTTCACAAACATGCTTTCTTACGTGTCATTGATTGATTTCTATCGTGTTTTCTCTCAATGATAGAGTGATAGAAATTTGTGATAACTAAATTTCAGTATGCTTTAAAAATCACCTGTGTTTTAGAAAGGGAAAAGTGGAAGAAAATTTGGTTAATATCCTCCACAGAAGGAAGTACACTAGTGTGTGGATTTTGAAATGACTTCTAATTAATAACACAGTTGCATAATATAAATTAGTGCATGAAGAGATGTTTAGGGAAAAACACTAAATATCTAAAAAATGTTTACATTCAATTTGTCGTAGACTACTTTAGCATTGAAAAATTTATAGGATATTAAAAATAATTAAGACATATGTCTGCTTTTCAATATGTATTAAATTATACCTGGCCTTATAAATCAGTTATAAAAAAGTTATTCTTTGCTATATTACAAAAATGTCACATGATTTAAAACTATATCCCCATCTTTCCAGTTTTGTTATTTATAACAATGTAGTTGTGCATTGGTTATTTATACTTACTGAAAATTTGGTTGAGATTATTTCAGATTTGTTTTTCTTTGTAAAAAAGATATTTATAGATATCAATGGTTTGTTGCCCAGTTTGTTCTACAATATGACAAAGGATATTGATATTAATATAACACAGAGATTTTATCCAAGCATCAGTTATTTACAGATGAAAAACAAATAATCATAAATTACAGCGATATGCAACAGAGTTGGCAGTGACTTGACAGAGCCACATGTGTTTCTGGCTGGGCTCTGTGGCCAAATCACTCAGTTTCCAGGCTTAAATGTACATCACTCTTTTGGAAGATTTGGCTATTGGTCTTTTTTGAAAGTAGAGTTTCAATTGAGCATTCTAACAATAGAGGCACACTTGACTGATTCAGTCTCAACTGTTAACATGTCAGGAATTAGGAAATCACACAGCTAAATGCAAAACTCAGGGTTGAAATCCAGAAAATTTTTGTGAGCAAATGTGGTGGTTACAGTGGTCTATTTCCCAGTCTTCCTAATCTGCCAATATTCCCCAAATAAAGCAAAGTAAGTTTTTGTATTTAAATAGAAGATTTGGACTTGGGATGTGGCCCAATGTCAGAGTGCTTGCTTAGCATGTACAAAGTCTTGAGTTCAATCCCCAGCTTCACAAAATATATTACAGTTCATTTAACAGTGTTGAAATAGTGCTAATATGAAGAAAAGAATCACTTCTAATGATACATATCTATTATTGAGTGACAAAATACCACAGTTATTAAATTGCTCCTTTGATCAGGAATTCTCATGGCAAACTTATCTGATTCTTATCAATAACTGAAATCTACATCTACTTAATTGCTTAAAAATAAGATAATGTATATTCTTCCCAGTCCTTCTCAAATATCTGTCAGTTTGTCTTTGATTTATAGCTCTAAAGTAGATTATTTCATTTTGCATTTGCTCTCAGAGACATAAATATACTAAAGTGATCTTGAGTAGTTAATTGAAAATAAACCTTTTTTTATAACATTTTATAAGTAAATAGTCATAAAATGTCCATTTTAGTGGTACTGAGGTTTGAACTCAGCACCTCACAGCAATTATTGTTTTTAATTATAGTGTAAATTTATTTCCCTCCCCAAGTTAGGATTTGTTATGATTTTCTATTGTATGTGTGTGTAATTATAATCAATCTGAAAAAAAAATTAGTATTTCCCTAATGCTTTGATGTCATGATCTAAATTTAAAATTTTTGAAAAATACTTTTTAAACAAAAAAAATTTAACTCCAAAAGAGAGCATATATAATTACCAGTACCCCAAAAGCCAATAACTAGCACTTTCTTCCTACTGTCTGCAATAGCTAAAATAAAACTTTTATAATAATGATGTGCTTGTTTTTTATAAAGATTCACTGTCTAAAAATATCTATCACAAAATACCAATTAATATCCCATTTTCAGGCTTTATCAGAATAAAAATCATGTGGTACTTATTCCACATATATTTTTAAATTGCCAAAATGAATTTATAAAATATTCAGGCTTTTGCATGTATTGAGAGTACATTTACTTCTGTGTTTATCTTTCATTTTTACTGATACAGCACATAAAATTGCAGTTATTAATGTGCAACCATGTAATTTTCAGTGGAGCTCCTTGTACACTTGTATAATGTAAATCATGTCAAATGTACTAATTTCTTCAATGTTTAGCAATTGTGGTGAGAAATTTCTAAATCCTTTATTATACCTTTTTGAAGTGTACTACACATAATTGCTATCAGTCTTACCATAATTGCAAATTATGCCAGAACATCTTGCCCCTATTTTACTCTAACTCACTACTTACTTATCAAAATTCCCCATCCTCACACACATTCCTATCCTCTGTCAGCCATCATTCTACTCTCAACTTCTATGGGATCAACTTTTTTAGATTACACCCATGCATGAAATTATGTGATGCTTGTCTTTCTTTCCCTGACTTTTTTTCACATAATATAATGATCTGTTGCATCCAAGTTATGATAAATTACAAGATTTCACTATTTTTATGGATGCATATTAACCCTTGTACCACATTTTCTTTGTGTTTTCACTAATTGATGGACACTTAGATTGTTTTCATCTCCTTTAAAAAATATTTTTATTCATTTTTAATAGTTATACAGGGGATTTTGTGGTGATATTTTCATATATGCATACAAAATATTCCAGTCTGATTCATCCCCATCATTATTCTCCCTCTTCCCCCTCTCCCTTCTTAAAATGGCTTCAACAGGTTTTAGGTTCCATACTCATACATGCATAGAGAATATATCAACCATATTCACCCTCTTTACCCTTTTCTTTTACCACCTCCTCCTGTTGTTATCCTCCCCTTATCATGAGCTGTGTTACATTCCTGTCCTTTATGGTGTGTCTATTAATTGTTTAGTGGAAGTTTGCTTTGGTATTTTACTTGTAAATATATCGCACTGGCTATCATAAATAGGAGGGAGGGCAGATATTTCTTTGACATACTTACAGTTCCTTTGGATATATACTCATCAGTGGTATTGCTAGGTCATATAGTGATTTGATTTTTGGTGTTTTGAGGAACTCTTGTACTGTATTCCATAATGGCTGTACTAATTTATATCCCTACTAACAATATGCAAGTGGTTCCTTTCTCTGTATCTTTGGCAGCACTTGTTAACTTTGGTCTTTTTGATATCAGCTATTCTTACCAGTGTGAAGTGACTTGTCATTGTTGTTCTGATATGAATTCCAATGATTATTAGTGATGCTGAACATTTTTTCAAGTACATGTTGCCCAGTTGTATCCCTTCTTTAAAAAAAATATCTGTTTAGATCTATTTACACTTTTTTATCAAGTTGTTTTTTGCTATTGAGTTTTGGAGTTCCATATATGTTCTGGATATCAAAATCTCATGCGATGTATACATTTCAAATATTTTCTCCCATTCTGCGGGTTTCTCTGCATTCTCTTACCTGTTTCCTTTGATGTGGAGGAGTAATGTGTGCGAGTTCTGTGTCCATCACCATGTGGTACTAAAGGCTGTCTTCCCTGTGTTCACATCTTCAGGTCTCATTGTGTTTGAGGGTGCTTGAGGCAGAGAGAGTGAGCAGACCAAGAAACCCTGCCAGGAAACAAGTTCCTTAGTGTTAACTGGCATCTGGAAAACACCCAAGACCAGAAAGCAGGGTCCCAAACCTCCAACTCACACCTCCCTCCTTGTGACAATTCAGAGAAGATATCATCCATAGCATGTCTGGAGAGCAAACATAGAGCACTTCCCACACAGCCTCATGGAAGAGGCCCTGAGCTCCCAGTTTGTAGGGCTCAGAGGTCCCTTGTCTGCCAGGAAGCAAGTGGTGGGGTAAGATCCAAGCCTGTGTGTAGTGCCGCAGAACACCCTCCCAGTGCACTTGTCAGGAAGATCCTAGAGAAGACATGGGGACTGATCCTTCTGACTCCTGGGGATTCTTATGTCCACAGGCAGCAGGCACAGATGCTCAGGGGGACACTGGCAACTGGGCATTTGTGTGGTGTGTGTGTGTGTGTGTGTGTGTGTGTGTGTGTTTGCTTTTCAACTACAAAAGTCTTCCCAGCCAGACCCAGTTATATTACTGACTACAAGGAACTTTATCTTTACTGAAGCCAGGAGGAACTTTTAGCCTGTGGAGAGCACAACTGTTTTGTTACCAGGCAGTGGAAAGAAAGAAAGAAATGAGCTCTCATTCCAAGATAATAAAAAATAACCTGAAACTTAGGGATATGGACCAATTTTCAGGCTGTTATCAGTTTCTTTCTTTAACTATTTATTAAATCTGCTTAATGGGTGGACTTCATGGATCTTGGTGTGTTACTTCTGGTCCACCACAGTTTCAGTCCTAGGAACTGGACTCTCCCAAATGCCCATGGATAGTTAGACAAGTGAGAAAGTCACAGCAACTTCATGCAATGGACTATCACACAGTGAGTGTACCAACCTGGATTGCAGGTACACCTCAGATGAAGGCTGGATCTGACAGCTGTTGGGTGAAGGAAACCAGATAAGAACACAGATGCTACAGTCTAACTGTGGAGCAAAAGTTATGACAGGGTGTCAGAAGTCAGGATCATGGCTAGCTTTCCAGAGGTATTGGGTGGGGAACAGTTGTCTTGGTTGCTGGTGGTGTCTGTGTTTTGATCCCTATAAATACCACATCAGCAGCTGGTAAGCCTTGTAGTTGATCTGCTAGCTATGTGGAATGGATTTGAGTAAAACCCATCAGCTCCCACTGCTAGTGGGCTCTGCACCTTTCTGCCTGTATGTCTTATGCTTTAAAAATTTTCTAAGTGAATGTTAAAACCAAGCAAAGAAGATCACAGTGTGAGTCAATGGTGGTAGAGAGTCTAGAAGGTCATATGTACCCTCTAACTGGTCTCCAGCCCCAGATTCTTTGGTGTGGTTTCTGTTCTCAACTGTGCAA